TTTTTTTAAGACGCCTCGTGTTTGAAACTTAATTAGTTATTCCTAATTCGGTGCATTCATTATCGGCAAATGTTTTTTTCCCCTGACTCCTCCTTAATCATTACTTAAGTATTTGCGACAGACTTGTACATTTTGGTTTTGGCTTTGAGCTGTCTAATCATTTTTCTTTTGCTCATTTTTACCTTTTTACCATGGGCATCTCAGGCGAATCATTCTGCTGGAGGGATTGGAATGTATGTTTTAAAGAGTTTACTCTCGTTTCTTCGAACAGTTTGACTTGAACTTTTGAAACTCAACGAAAATTCTTACCAGTACTTAACATCTTTTTTTTCTTTGCGATATATGATTTTTATCATGCACCAATGAAATTATTCAGCGTTATAATGTTTTGTTATGTGTTCAAAGCCCTTAGTGAATGATATGAAGTAAGATGCGAGCCTAGTAATGCCGCTGTCAGTTAACAACGTCATTATGGCGAGGGTTGACAATGAGTAATTTGCAGGAGCTTCATGTTCTGGTATGTCCCAGACACTAGACGAACACTGCATGATCAGTGACGACTGCAGCACGATCACGTGCAAGATGAATTTTGTTAAGGAGCCAATCACATTCAAACTCAAGGTATCAATTGTCATTTTCTATAAATACCCGCACAATATGCTTAAGGTGGCTCGATACAGTTTTTCAAGGCCAATACCTCCCAAGTTTGAGCATAAACTACGTCGCCATAAACAAAGTTTTGGAAAATTGCCACCACAGTTGTATTAGATAAAGATGAAAATCTTTTATGATCAGGGTTGCAATGACATCGGAGTTGTCATAGCAACGAAATGACGCTATTACCTATTTTACTTGCAGAAGTATTTCTCGGCACTGAGAACTGTTCTTCCAAAATTATTCACGGGAGCTTTTTCCTCCAATAGCCGCCTCGATGTTCCTGAAGTTTAAGCGAAATCTGTAGGAGCGTTATCGAGATATTTTGGGATCAAGATTTTGTGGTTAGAAATACGTTAAAAAATGGATAATCTTGATGTTCGGCGGTTATCTGTACAAGATGAAGCGCTTTTGACATGCAATTTCACCTGATAGTAGTTTCAATCTTTTTAAAACCTTGTGTGAAAGACCGTGGAGATAGCTCCAGCCGATAGCTAGAAAGAAGGACTTGATTAGTATGTATCGGGTCGCTTTTGTTAGCGGTTTTTGAACATTTTGGTCTACTTTAACAAATTAGCGAATAATTTTTAAACCACTCGATAGATTTTTTAAAAAAAATAAGATTCTTGAGATTAACCTTCTTTTTATATGACCCTTTAGTTTCAAGATTATTGATATATTGTAAGGCAGTAAAATAAGGGCTACAATTCGCCAATATTTTGGCAGAAATTTTGTGTTTACAAATGTGAGCCTCTCATTATTCAGGGTATTGTCTCCAAGTTTCATATTTTTGCGCATAACAATAGCTAGCATTTTTGCATATGTCAAATGCATTGTTAGTTACTGTTGTTCACGTGAAACTCCACGGTCTTTCACACAAGTTTTTAAAAAGATTGAAACTACTATCAGGTGAAATTGCATGTCAAAAGCGCTTCATCTTTCTAGCAATCGGCTGGAGCTATCTCCATGATCCTTCACACACGTTTTTAAAAAGATTGAAACTACTATCAGGTGAAATTGCATGTCAAAAGCGCTTCACTTTCTACAGATAACGGCCAAACAACAATATTGTCCATTTTTTACTGTGTTTCTAACCACAAAAACTTCATCCCAAAATATCTCGATAACGCTCTTACAGATTACGCTTAAACTTCACGAACATCGAGGCCGCTATTGGAGAAAAAAGCTTCCGTGAACGATTTTGGAAGAACAGTTCCCAGTGACGAGGTATACTGCTGCAAGTAAATTAGGTAATAGCGTCATTTCGTTGCTATGACAACTCCGATGCCGTTGCAACCCTGATCATAACAAATTTTCATCTTTATCTAATACAACTGTGGTGGCAATTTTTCCAAAACTTTGTTTATGGCGAAGTAGTTTATGCTCAAACTTGGGAGGTATTGGCCCCGAAAAACTGTGTCGAGCCACCTTAAGGTACGGAAAAACGGGCAACAAAAGACGTGCAACTTGTCTTGCAACATTGCTGCAAAACGAGTTGAATAGCGATGTTGCGCGTTTTACCAGGCCCACATCAAACCTGCCTTGCAACAAATCAAGTTGTTAACAGGTTTGAACGTGGGTGTTAAAACACGCAACATCGCTATTCAACTCATTTTGCAGCGATGTTGCAAGACAGGTTGCACGTTTTTTTAAGCCTCATGTTCCGAGGGAGGTTTATGTCCTTTTTTTCCACTGATTAACACGAGCTGCAGTCGCTAAACATATTGTGCGCAGACATAATCAGCGCCTCTGGAAACGAAGGCACCCGTACAAGTGGTTTAGTTCTTGTCTTCCTTGGGTCCTGAGGCCTGCATTCCATCTGTTTTCAAATCAGAGTTACGATCGGGGGAAGACAAAGTCTCCGCATTACAGAGTATTATGGTGTTTCCTGGGATTCGTCAATTTTGTATTGTCCATAACTACTTTGTTTGTCTCCGCACCAAATTTTGCATAACTCAGTATTGTTCCCAATTTTTCCTGGATATAATCAGAAACCCATAAGGGGTTGAAACGTGTAACTCTCATATGTTTGCTTTGTCCGATGCTCGTGATTATTCATTTTCAAAAGTACCATATTTGGAACGAGAAGAAGAGATGACTGACCAATCAAACTTTGTAAACAACGTGACGTAATTTCACTTCAGGTTCCCGCGCCCGCTTAAAAAATGGCCGACAAACGGGGGAAAAACTCTCGAAAGCCGAGAAAGCTTTCAAAGGTTGAAACCAGGAATCTTACCAAAACACTGAGCAGGATATTATTGCCTTACCCCCAAGGCCAAACGTAACATTATGAAACCCATTGACGTCCTCACGACGTCTTGAAGTTGTCACTGCAAAAAACGATGCCTCGTTGACCCTCTGCACAGTAAACTTATACTGCTAATAGGCTTTTAAAATTTTTATATTAAAAGTCTAGAATGAACAGTAAAAAATATTTTCGAATAAAATTCATTAGCTGCGTATCGAAAGGTGTCCAAAAACTGAACCTGACATCTTCGCAAAAAGTGATGCGCGTAATGAATGTGAGTTCTAAGCATTTAAGCGTTAATTCAGCCTGGGTGTTGTAGTCACGATCGTGTTTTGAGCTAATTTTATGAATGAACAAACTCAAAACAGTAGACAGAGAAGCCGTTCCTTGAAAATTTTCATTCAAAGTCCAAAAAGTTAATCCTTTAAAGCAATTCGGAAAACACTATCTGGATCGTAGATCCGTTCACGCAAGTGAAATCGGCTGAGCACATGGCAAAATGAAACACAAAATCCATCTCAAATCGGGGTATATTTTGTAATTTTTCCTTAACGCCGAAGAGAAAAATTTATAAAACGTCTATGAAACATATAAAAATACATAAATTCCCTTTGAAAAACGTTATTGTCTTGGCCATAGAGTGCAAAATGTACCTGAAAATTCAGCAAAAACTTCACTGCCTTGGTTGCATTTCAAAACAGACCAGAGATCCGTCGTGAAGAAAGCAAGGTTGAATTCCTCGAAGGACGATTTCTTGATGAAAAGCTTCCCTTCCTCCACCAAAAGAAAGCTGAGCATTCTGCTGAACTTTCTCTTTCCAGTTTTTTGTCTTTTAACGGTGTATGTTTAAGCCTGAAATGCAGAGCTCTTGTCTTAAAACATCTGCATGGTGATCGCGCGGGAGCCTGTCACCAAGGTTCCAAATATGGTAAAAGTGAATGTTCACGAGCATTGAACGCGAGTTACACGTTTCAACCCCTTATGAGTTTCTGGTATAATTAATTACATTCGTCCCAAGAGTGATTAAAAACAATGCCTTTGCAAAATTCTAGGGGGCGTGGGCAAATAAAGTATATTATTATTCATTCAAAATATTTCCCCGATTCTGATTGGCTAAAAGCACACGTTTAATTCACCATAACCAGTTACTGATGACCAAATTTAGAAGAATTTTGTGTTTAACGAGGAAATGACGTCAAAAATGCAGCGTTGCTGCAAGTTAAGGCACCGTTAACCGAGAAGACCTGGGGACGAGGTTGAGTTGTTTTGGTTGTGGGAACAAAAATGGCAGTCATTTCACTCGTTTCAAGCGTAAAAGGCGAAAAAATAGCTGTAAACATGGCAAGAACAGCAAGAAGACAACTCGAAGGGCGACATCTGCTATTTGGAAAATATTTGCGGAGCTGGACAAACCTAAACGTGCACTATCGAAGATGAACTTAACATCGATGAATCGATGGAGGTAAGCATGTTTTAGCCATGTTTTTAAACTTGGAATTATTTTGAATGAATAATAACACAATTATTGAATTCGGCTTTCGTATCATATGAAGAATTATGGAGATCTCGGAGGGTGTTATCCGCCTCGACCTACGGCCTCGACGGATAACACCCTCCTCGATCTCCATAATTCTTCATAAGATACTCAGCCTCATTCATTAATTGTTAAATACGGGCCGGGCAATTCGAAAATGGCGAATGACTTAAGTAAAGTCAAGTAAGTCAAGCTGAATGTTATTTGGATTCAACTCCGCCATGATAACCGACAAAAACCCGTGGGTTATTACTAACACTGTAAGGCCCACGTCACATGGGGAAGAGCCTAATGCTAATAAAAGCCAAAACAATAGATATTGCTCATTAGCATTAGGTTTGAGTTTTTCTTGGGCCTAGTAAGAACATTAAGAAAGATCAGTTAAAAGAACTTAGTTTTATGAATGGTAAATGAATCATAATTGATGTCAAAGGTATATTTGCTGTCTTTGTCACCTTTCAGGGTTAATAAGCTGCCATATAAAGGATAAAACTCATATCCAGTATAAACAAATGTACTATCATTCATTACTAAGAAAATTGGCATTTAATCATTACCAACCAGATTAACAAATGTGATGAACCCGTCACTGTAACGGCCTCCATGAATGTCCCGGATCTGCCTGTCACGTGGTCTCACACCTACACCAGTGACGACATCATTGAAGTGCCCGGATTTACTGTATCTTTGCGTTATATTTCCGCTGGAGTGTACGTTCAAGTTCAACTCAAAGACAACGGGGACAGACTGCATCTTAAGGCAAGTACCTTACGTAAAGCGACTTGTAACGTAGTGTGACCTCAATTTTAGAAAGGACATTATGTGATGTCAAACACTAAAGACCATTGTTATGGAGGTAAAGTGCAGGACATACTTTAAAGGAGTGAATTCAGGTACCGCATATAATAGTTTAATAGTTTAAAGTTTTCATATTGTTGGTGCGGTGCTTATTTAGATGCCGCGCCCTTTTGAGATTCGAATACGGTCAAGTATTTCCATCTCACTTAGCCATGTGCTTTCTATCAAAACAGAGATAAAGACAGTAGTTTGCTGCCTCCAACGGTCAAGATAGGGAAACCTTCGAAACTCGTTTAAACATCCAGCCAAAGTTGTAATTTTTTAACAACAGTGAAGAAAGTGAAGGAATATATTTAAGAATTTCAACAATTGTTTTTATTCCGCTATTGTACATTAAGATTTTCTTAGTAGCGGGGCTCCCTCGCGGGCGAAGCGCGCGTGGGACAGAGCCCCATACTCATAGAGTATGGTCAACCTCTTTTCGTTTGGTTGTCACGTGACTGACCGAGCGTACGTACGTACGTACGTACGCGTCTACAGATTGTACGGGTAGGGTAGGGGAGACTATCAAAAGGAAGGGAGGGGTGTCTCAGGCGTGTCTTGGCAAATCCACATCTTTTACATTGCCCATTCACAATATAATCAATTGACAGCTGTCAAAACAGGATAGCCACTGACCAGTATCACATTGCGATATCGAGGGCTCATGTGTCAACTCATCAAGGTGACGTGATTTATTTGGAAGCTGTCCGCTGACCAGTTGTTTTACTAGATCGCGATCAATGTTCAATCTCATACTTTCTAGCTAGTTTGAGAGCACAGGAAAACTGATAATGCACACATCCATTGGACATCAATGTTGTGATCAATTGAAAGCTGTCAAAACAGGGTATCCACTTACCAGTGTCACTTGACCATATCGCGGGCTCAGGCGTTGACCCATCGAGGTCAAGTATTTTTTGAAGTATCCGCTGACAAGTTACCAGTTTTCAAATGATCGCAGGCTCAAGTTTGATTTTTTTTTTCATTCGTATGAAATATGTTTTGTTTTTGGGCCGCCCGACTAAAATTTTGATTTAAAACTGACCTCGGACCCGAAAATTCAGCCAGCTGTTATAGGCAGGGAAGACAGTTACTTTTGACTTTGCTCACCATGGTCACGCGTTGGTCACGCTCTACGTCCATTTTTTATGCTCTGATTGGTCAAAATTTGACAGGTGAGTTCATGCGGAAAATTTATGCAGCATCTTGAATCTTGTCTACTTTGACAAAGCTGAAGCTGACAGAGTTTTGTGTCAACTTGTGATGTTTTTACCTGTCTTTTTCTACTGGATGCACAAAATGAAATTCAGCTGCTATCATGAGTCTTCTGTTATTCATGGCTAGTTGGTTTTTGGTTGAGAAATTAACACATCACTTGTCAAAGTCGGAAATCCGATTTCGGATGGCATCGTTTTCGTTTTTCACCTTGCTTGCTGCGTAAACGTTGAAAAGTCTGAAGCGATACCGGCCTTACTTGATACCTTTCAGGAGCTGCATCTCGAATGGTAAGCTTCAGTAATTATTGTGTTTGATGTTTGTTTTTTATATCTAATTTAATGAAGTCGAGCGAAGTTTATGCGGCTATGTAGTTTATGCACGTTTGTAAGATTTGAGACAATTCGATCTGACCAAGAATCAGGTTTGATATTAGCCTGAATTTCATCCGATTACTTCGAGTCATTATTACTCCCTCAGTAACGTCTGAATCGACCGGCTGTTAATGCCGTCCAGTGACGTCACTACTCCTTGACCTTTGCTTTAATTCATGCAAAAAGTAAAACACGATTTTCAAGTGTCAAACCGAGAAATATCGTTTGGAAATATCTCCATGAAACAGAACTGCTTTATTTTTTTTTAATTGTAATTCATGTTTAACGTTCAAACTATCAAGTGCATGCAGTACAACCGGTTGTGCTAAATTCTATAATCAAACTCAGTCGCAATCACGCAATGAAATAAACACACACACGGAACGCTTAGTTCCAAAACAGAATGATTTGCTTTAATTGAAAATAAGCCATTTGGTCCTTAACGAAGAAAAAAAAACAAGGAGACAAGAAAGAAAAGCTAACAGAATCATTACACTTGACGGTAAAAATAGCAAGAAGGTCGAATTATAACATTGATCTCAGAAAACTTTGCGTAAACAAAATCACCGGCCGCCGAAACCACAAAGCGGCTCTAAATGAAAAACCTACCGACTCTCTGCAATGATTCTTCATTCGCAGTTCAATTTAGCATTTCAGTTTCGAAGACAAGGGCAATTTTGCTGTTTAAGATAAGATTAAGCTTATCGAAATGTTTCAACGAAACGAAAGAATGCCAAGGATGCGATCCATTGAGCGACAATCCCGCTAAAATTTTTCATAATTATACATAATTATGCGAATGCATAACGAGCTGCATGGTCTTAGCAACCAAAAAAACCCCTCAGTATCCAGCTGAGATAGCTGAGTAAAAGTCAGCTATCTCAGCTGGATACCCAGTAGCTTGCAACATTCCCTATTCCCTTAATCTCTGATCGTATTTCGCATCTAATATGATAGAGGCGTCAATGTTCACGCAATCATGTCATCATCCTGAGGCGACAAATAAAATTAATTAAAAATGCGGTATCAAAACAAAATGTCCGGAAAAAATAATTCAGTGCCTTCTAAAAAGAACATTTTAAAGTCTGCGGTCGATTTCATTGCCAACGTGTTATATATCCCAGAAGCGCTCAGGCATAATAACATCATGCTAGGACTTCTACCTGGGTGAACCAGAAAGGATATAGAATAACTGCCTAATTTTTTTTTCGGCTACGGATCGAAACGCTAAACGTGTTATATATCCCAGAAGCGCTCAGGCATAATAACATCATGCCAGGACTTCTACCTGGATGAACCAGAAAGGATATAGAACAACAGCCTAATTTTTTTTCGGCTACGGGTCGAAACGCTAAACGTGTTATATATCCCAGAAGCGCTCAGGCATAATAACATCATGCCAGGACTTCTACCTGGGTGAACCAGAAAGGATATAGAACAACTGCCTAATCATGTTTCTTTTTCGGCTACGGATCAAAATAATAGACGTGTTATATATCCTAGAAGCGCTCAGGCATAAGAACATCATGCCAGGACTTCTACCTGGGTGAACCAGAAAGGATATAGAACAACTGCCTATTTTTTTTTTTTTTTTCGGCTGCGGATCGAATGCTAAACGTGTTATATATCCTAGAAGCGCTCAGGCATAATAACATCATGCCAGGACTTCTACCTGGGTGAACCAGAAAGGATATAGAACAACTGCCTATTTTTTTTTTTTTTTTTTTTCGGCTACGGGTCGAAATGCTAAACGTGTTATATATCCTAGAAGCGCTCAGGCATAATAACATCATGCCAGGACTTCTACCTGGGTGAACCAGAAAGGATATAGAACAACTGCCTAAATTTTTTTTTTCGGCTACGGATCGAAATGCTAAACGTGTTATATATCCCAGAAGCGCTCAGGCATAATAACATCATGCCAGGACTTCTACCTTGGTGAACCAGAAAGGATATAGAACAACTGCCTAATTTTATTTTTACGGCTACGGGTTGAAATGCTAAACGTGTTATATATCCCAGAAGCGCTCAGGCATAATAACATCATGCCAGGACTTCTACCTGGGTGAACCAGAAAGGATATAGAACAACTGCCTAATTTTTTTTTTTCGGCTACGGATCGAAATGCTAAACGTGTTATATATCCCAGAAGCGCTCAGGCATAAGAACATCATGCCAGGACTTCTACCTGGGTGAACCAGAAAGGATATAGAACAACTGCCTAATTTTTTTTCGGCTACGGATCGAAATGCTAAACGTGTTATATATCCCAGAAGCGCTCAGGCATAAGAACATCATGCCAGGACTTCTACCTGGGTGAACCAGAAAGGATATAGAACAACTGCCTAATTTTTTTTTTTTTTCGGCTACGGATCGAAATGCTAAACGTGTTATATATCCCAGAAGCGCTCAGGCATAAGAACATCATGCCAGGACTTCTACCTGGGTGAACCAGAAAGGATATAGAACAACTGACTATTTTTTTTTTTTTCGGCTACGGGTCGAAATGCTAAACGTGTTATATATCCTAGAAGCGCTCAGGCATAATAACATCATGCCAGGACTTCTACCTGGGTGAACCAGAAAGGATATAGAACAACTGCCTAAATATTTTTTTTCGGCTACGGATCGAAATGCTAAACGTGTTATATATCCCAGAAGCGCTCAGGCATAATAACATCATGCCAGGACTTCTACCTTGGTGAACCAGAAAGGATATAGAACGACTGCCTATTTTTTTTTTTTTTCGGCTACGGATCGAAATGCTAAACGTGTTATATATCCTAGAAGCGCTCAGGCATAATAATATGCCAGGACTTCTACCTGGATGAACCAGAAAGGATATAGAACAACTGCCTTTTTTTTCTACGCGTCGAAGTTCTAAACTTGTTATTCTTAGAAGCGCTCAGGCTTAATAATATGCCAGGTTTCCAGCGACTGATTTTACCTGATTTTGCGGTGCGCAAGAATGGATAATTTACCCGACTTGTAAACAGATACTTCCTTCAGCCGATTGTGTCTCATGCAGGAGAATGTCATGTCTGCGTTGTTTTGTTTCTACTTTATCAAAGAAAGCTTAATAGGAAGATCGCAATTTATACTCTTACCAACTATAAATTAGGGCTGACCTTGAAGACGCGTTGAATTGTGCCGCCATCCTTCAAAATATAATCTGGCTGCGTTTAGGGAGACAATTTCCTCTTCCATCCAGGTTTACTTGGTATATGTGTTTGCGAGAATCTTCAGACAAAGAATTGGGTATACACTAATTCGAATGGCTTGGCGATACTAAGTGCTTAAGTCTACTTACCGATTACAACATGTTTTGGAAGTATTGAGAAGCGCGCCAAACGAGGTTGTCACAGCGTTCTCGAGCGAACACGGCGCGACCTGGATTGATAAAATTACTATTACATGCAGCTATCATGCCAGTGATTTCTCCTTTCGTCGCATAGTGAATAGTTTGTGAGCACATCCTCGACTCTCGAAACATTTGTCTTGCGCCGCTATAGAAGTTGCTTCTCCCGCGAACCATAGGTAGATTTCCCGCTTAATCTGATGTTTGATAATTTATGCAAAAGTTGACCTCGTGAAAGTCAGCAGTGCATTAATCGACTCAAAAATAAACAGACTTCCTACAGGGTTTTGAACACGGTTTTAATTAAAGTACTTTACGAGCGCTGCGGTAGTTGACCGCAAAAGTGTTACGGTGATGGATATTCAACTGGATGATTGCGTCACTTCATAGCAACCAGACGGTACGAATTTTTTAACTTCCGGAGCGCTGAGGCTCGTAGTGTTAGACAATCAACCAATCAAAATCACTACCAGGTTTTCGGGTAGTGAGTGACGTCACTGGACGGCATTAACGGCCGGTCGATTCAGACGTTGTTGAGAGGAGAAAACGACTCGAAGCAATCGGATGAATTTTAGGCTAGTTTGATATAAGCTTACACAACTTTAAAAAGTCTTTAGACATTTTCTCACCGCAAATAGAAAGAAAACGTTCCAAAGAACATTTAGTTATAATTCTGGCTGTAAAAGTAAGCTTTGAGCGATTTTCTTGTCTCGAGTTCATCTTTGAAAAAAGTAAACTTAAGCTTTAAGCTTGAAGACTCAGTATTTTTAGAGACACTTTGATACTTGTCGTCGTGAATGAAAAATGTTGTCGCTGTATATGTTTCACCGAATTATATTTCTTTTATTGATCGTTGGTAGTCTCTTTTGTAATTTTAATCGCTGTGCCGTTTGTTTTGAGTCGTTCAGTGAACATCGCTTGCAGGAGTACTCAAAATGCTGGGCGTATCAAACGCTTTTAAAGATTACACATCCATAAAACCATTAAATAAAACATAAACATAATAATTTCTTTATTATGTTGGAGCTTAACTCTAGTATGTTCGTTCAAACATTCGCTACAGCTCGCACTGCAAAAGTGAGAACCGGCTGGCCGTATATGTGATTTTGGAAATTTTTTTAACGGTTTAGCTAAAACGGCCCACGCGTGCTTCGATCGTCCTGAATATTGAATGAGTGCAATTTGTGTTGCAAAATTGTGAAATAATGCATTCTGTCCGAGGTCTGTATGGTAAAAACAGTACCTCATAGTACTGTTTAACCTCGGATGTGATGTATAAATGGTATAAAAGGTTGGTTTACACGCAACCAGATTTGTTGGCAAGATTAATCTGACGGTGATTGCTATTTTTTGGGTGTACATATGAGGTTATCAACTCGATGTAAGATTTTGTTCACTCTTGGGCTGTTTGCAAATTATTTTTCTCTAAAATCACTTAGCCTTTCCCTCAAAAGTCACATGAATGTGCTATGTGCTCTAAAGTTAACTGAATTGTGGAATACAAGTTTATTGTTTGATTTAAATTATAAATATATTAATGGGAGCCTGGCTTTTAGCCCTGGCTAAATCTATATATTAGGCATTTATTAAAGGATTTTTTTCAATAATGTTTGTTATTTTCTTTAGAAGACCACTTTTTCGTGATAAGGATTCCGTGGTTAAATAAAGTTATTACTTACTTACTTACTATTCTAAACTTTGGCCATAAACAATTTTATGATCAAAAGACTGAAAATATTCTAGAACAACCCAGCATTCAATGCTAATTCAAGTTCATTATCGATTTTAATTTAAACTAAAGTGAAAATTTGAGCGCTTAGTGACACACACCCAAAATTAATCGTTTAAACTAGTCTAAGCCTTCTGGAGAGGGAGATTCTGCCAGCAGGAAAAAGAAAATCAATAAGTTCGAAACAATTCGGTTTTTTTATAGGTGAAGCTACTGGCCGGTGCAAAAGCGTTGGACACGGGTCTTTATCCTGTGAAAGTTACTGTGGTGGAGGGAGACTTACCAATTTCAACTAACGAATGTGGTGGGTACACTGATCATAATCAAAACTAGAAATGTATGTAATGCATTCTAGAACTCGCAATAGTTTTTACGCTAACGGAACACGGTAATTCTGCATTAAATTACCTTCAATTAACCTCGAGCCCTCGAGCCCAAATTTCCTTCCCCTTGCCTTTCGAGCGTCTGCCACGCAGGCTATCATTTAACTTTCTTATATGGCACATATATAATTTCTGTTCATTTATCAGTTACCGATTGGCCAGCAAAAAGTGAAATACTAGAGAAAATATTTTCAAGACTGTTACCGACTCCGCGGAGATGACCATATGATATTGAAAATGTTAGCAGTTCTGGAGCATTAACGAAAAGGAACGATACCCATAAATTTTAGGGTTAAAAACACAATGTGGTCTTTTAGTGTCTGCAAGGAGAGAAGATTTTTACCAGGTCTATAGAAGGACAATGGGTCACATATTAAGACGTAGATGTAAGGAAGCCTAGCCATAAAAAATTTAAAGGTATCAGAGTGTATCTTAAAATCAACGTGCTGTCCTGCAGGCAGCCAGTACAGGTCCATTTAAACAGATCCTTTCCCTAAGCGGGGAACGGAGCTTAAAAATAAAAAACAGTCCTTTTCCCACGGTCAAACACTTACGACATTGCCTCAACAAACATTTGAATCGGATAAGCATGTTTCAATCCCGTCTGCAGGGATTCCTTTTTGTCATGCGCAAATATTGGAACGTTCTTGGTGCTGACCAAACAGAAAGAGGGATCTGGGTACGAGAAATTGATATTCACTATCGCAAAAGCAAATTAGCTATACTGCGTTTGGGTTGTGAAAGTGTCAAACAACTTAAACATTTCGAGAAAAAAAAATGTCATGACAACGTTGTGAGAACCTTGTGACAACCGTCTGATGTTCAAGTGGTGGTACGACCTGTCGATACTGCAAAGGCAGCAGTGATTGGTGGTCAAATGAACATTACGACAATATGTTGTGACAAATTTTAAACAGTTCAACCTCTTCTTAACAAGTCGTTACAACGTCTCACAACACCATTGAGAGGCGGTGTCAAAAAGTCAGAGAATCTGCTGTCAAATATGATTATATATAAACTATGAAGCTAAAAGTGGATACCATTACTATCTGAGGAGTGTCACATCATTCCTTATGTTTCCAGTGTCCTGTCCTTGGATGAGGGTAGAAATGGACGGCGAGACAGATCTGTAAGAAAAGTTGTTTGAGGGCGGGCTTAATTTGTTTAAACATGTCTTCAAGCATAGTGCTGTATCTGTGTTCTTTGTTGTAGGGGTGTTCAAGTGGTGGTATGACTTGTCCGATGCTGCAAAGGCAGCAGTGATTGGTGGACCTCTGTTGGTTATCTGTATTCTTGTCATATACTGTTGCTGCTGCAGGTCCCGCCCAGGAAATAGATGTGCTGTCCTCGCACGCGTTACGCCCGCAGTTTGCCATACTGCTGTCATGGCAACAAGCACTAACACCACCGCTCACACGCGACCGCACCGCTCACATACGACCGCTTGTTAATGTTGCTTGAGTGAACACAGTGGACAAATGTGCCTGGTATCAGGCGCAGTTTTTGAAACAAGGCTTTAGGTTTACACAGTACGATGCAACCATAGTCAATATTTGCAGATACTCACCGTCGGGACTATTATGCAACAAGCTACTGCATCTGCGTAATATATATATCTAGCCACAGCTAAAAGCGAAGCTCCCATTGATAAATTTATAACTTAAATGAAACAATAATTTTGTATTCCACAAATCAGTTAACGTAAGGGCACATTCATGTGACTTTTGAGGGAAAAGCTAAGTGATTTTGGAGTGAAACAAATTTTGTATCGAGTTGATATGGCCTTATATGTACACCCAAAAAATAGTCTTCGGTCACATTTAAGAGCAATGATGGCTCTTGATCACCGTAGAGAAGGCGTGCAAAACAAATTCTTGGAAAACAAATCAGACCGAATTTTTTGCGTTCGACAAGTTTACAAATTCTTGCCAATAAATCTGGGTGCGTGCACACCAATCTTTTATTTTTTTTATACACCACATCTGAGGAGAAAGAGTACTATGAGGCGCTGTTTTTATCATACAGACCTCGTACAAAATGCAGTATTTCACAATTTTTCAAGACAAATTGCATTCATTCAATATTCAGGACCATAGAGGCACGCGTGGACTTTTAATTAGCGAAACCGTTCAAAAAATTTCCAAAATCACCTATACGGCCAGCCGGTTCTAACTTTTGACAAGCGCCAAATTTGCGAAGAAATTTTAAAAGAGTTACGCTTCAACGTGATAAAGAATTTACTGAGTCTATTTTTTATTAACGGTTTTATAACGATGTGTAATCTTAAAAAGCGTTTGATACGCTTGGCATTTTGAGTACTCCTGCGACCGATGTTTATGAACGCCTGAAAACAAACGGCAAAGCGATGAAAATTACACTTTTGAGACTACCAAAAATCAATAAAGAAAAATAATTCGATAGGACATTTACAGAGACAACAATTTTCATTCACGAAAACAAATGAGTATTTAAGTGCATGTGTCTAAGAATCCTCAAGTCTTTACTAGTAAGCTTAAAGTTTATGTTTTAAGCCGCCGGTTTCCCGGTGTTGGCTGTTTTTAAAGATGAACTCACGAAAAGAAAATCCTTCAAAGCTTTCTTTCTACAGCCAAAATTATAACTAAATATTCTTCGGAAAGTTTTTTCTTTCTATTTAAGGTGAATTAATATCGACTAAAGGCTTTTTAAAGTTCTGTAAGCTTAAGCTTATATCAAACCTCATACGAGGTCAGATCAGTGTCTCAGTCAAATCTTAATACAAACGTGCATAAACTAGCTTCATAAACTGCGCCGCTGGACTTCATGAAATTAGATTTAAATACAATAATTACTCAGGCTTACCATATTTCGAGATGCAGCTCCTGAAAGCTATCAAGTAAGGCAAGGATCGCTTGAGCCTTTATAATTCTCGTACGCATCCAGCAAGGTGAAAAACAAAAACGATGCCATCCGAAATCGGATTATCGGCTTTGACAAGCGACGCATTTTTCAACCAAAAACCCAATAAACAAACCAGCCATGAATAAGAGAACACTCTTGATAGCAGCTGTATTTCATTTTGTACATCAAGTGGAAAAAGACAGTTAAAAACATCACAAGTTGACTCAAAACTCTGTCAGCTTCAGCTGTCAAAGTAAACAACTTTCAAGATGCTGCATAAATTTTATGCATGAACTCACCTGTCAAATTTTAACCAATCAGAGCATAAAAATTGGACGTGGAGCGTGACCAACACGTGCCCATGGTAAGAAAAGGTCTTCCCCGCCTGTATTTTAAAAACACTGGCTGAATTTTTGCGTCTGAAGTCAGTTTGAAATCAAAATCGTAATAGTGCGGGGCGATACTGACATAAACACAACATATTTGATATGAATTTAAAACAAAAGTAAACGTGAGCCTGCGATCATTTGAAAACGAGTAAATTGTCAGCGGAGAACTTCAATAAATACTTGACCTCGATGGGTCGACACCTGAGCCCGCGATTCGGTCAGGTGATAGTGGTCAGCGGATACCCTGTTTTGACAGCTGTCAATTGATGACAACATTGATGTGCAATCAGCTTTCTCCTGGGCTCCCACAGTGCTAGAAAGTGTTAGAGTAAACATTGGTATGCCTGTGGTGCGGACGGACGGTCGGTCGGTCGGTCGGTCGGTCGGTCGGTCACGTGATTACCAAATTTTCTGGGATGGGTAGATTTCCTTAGCAATGGGGCTCCGCCCACGCGCGCGCTTCGCGCGCGTGTGGAGCTCCGCTATGAGTGCATGTCGCTCGTGCTTTCGTCGTCGGTGTATACCAGTCTTAAGGTGGATTTCCACTGTGACCCAATTAATACGTGCGTACGCGCGTAAAAATTACATGTGTAAATAAAATGTATGGAAGGCCGTGCAAAAGCGTAAAAGTTGAACCTCGCTTGTTTACGCGCGGCTTTTCGAGAGATATGTCCAGAAATGCACGCATTGGCGAAAATGGCAGACATGGCGATTACTCGCCAATGCAAAATCGCCAAACTGTAAAAAAAATTCAAATGAGATGGCAAAGGGGTCCTTTGCAAAGTGGCGATTTGGGGACCTGGACGTTTATTGCCATTATCGCCAACCCTTTGGCGATTCTCGCCAAAATCGCCATTTTGGCCAAAATCGCCAGTCTCCAAGGGGCCACTTTTGGCATCCAATTCAAATCGCCAGAGGCTGGCGATTTTTTGCCATTTTCGCCATTGCAAGCATTTCTGGACATAAGTGGGCCTTTCGTACCTTGCCTCTATTCTATTTACGTATGTAAATTTTACGAGCGTAAGAACGTAAAAATCATGCGACAGTGAAAATCAACCCTTAAACTTTAAGCCGTTTTAAACACCTTAATATTTGGTTTATTTACATTAGAAGAACAATTTAGAATTGTTAGCCATTTGTCTTTCATGGTCGATTTTTAGTTTCGTAGTGTTTTACAGGCATGTTCATATTTTCATAGCTACATTCACGTAGGCTATAAAAAGTTGGTTGGATTTTCGCATTTGACCGATGTGTTGTTAGTCTCGCTTAGCGAGACTCGTAATCTGCAACGCGTTTTTCGCCCCGGGGGTAGTCCCTTATATAGGCTGTATGTGCCTCGCCAAAAGGTTTTTTTTAGCCGTTTTGGTTTGAAATAGGGTATCAATTTCGACCATTTTGGTATGAAACAGGGTATGGTTTGTGCCTTCTAGTCTTGAATTGGGTATGTTTTTTAAAAGAATTAGCTACTTCTTCATCATTTGGCGATAAGACCATTTCCTTTTTAAAGTTTAAGCCAACTACCGTGTACGTGCGGTAACAGCTTGTCATACACTTCGGTCACGCGCAGGGATCCAGGGCTTCAGGTCTGAAATAGGGTATCAAATTTTTTATCAGGTCTGAAATAGGGCAGGGAAAATCACAGATTTTGATCTGAAATGGGGTAAGGGTTTCAGGAAGCGTGCTGCAAACCCCACCCAATTTTTCTGGAAGTACCCCCAGGAATTTTTGGTCCGTTTTGGAGGTTACAAAGAGTAGGCCATTGTGCCAGGCGTTCCGTGTGGAGACCGTGGAAACTGGGACTAAGAATCGTTGCGTGATTGAAGCCACGCATGTTTTGCGAAGAAAGCTTAGGAAAGATTAGATTTAGAGCTTTTCCGAAACGTGTTGGCCTACGAATTCTATCGCTTGAAAGCGTTGATTACTTTGGAGCAAGTGAACACTACTGAGTGGTCGAAAAAAATAAGAATCTTAATTAGCAAAATTGCGATGATCGGGTGTTGTAAACTTTCACTGTATGCAAATGCGTCTTGTGATGAGCATACGATTTATTTTCGGCGGGGATTGAAACGAGGTGCCATGTAAATCACTTTTTCGATGTCTTGCATTGATGTAATTTCTCTGGAATCGAGGCCCTTGAATTTTCGTGTATTTATACACGCGTATAGCCTGCTACCCGGAGAGGTACTTTTGGTCGTCGCTAGCAAGCGTACTAAATTAATTCAGAGACAAATATCAAGTATGGACGTCGATAAAGTAGGAAGTAAAAGACCTTTAGCGAGTAAATCAGTCTCCCCAATTAGTAAGGCACTGTGCCTGAGCTATAAGACATGAGACTATTGGAACTGCAATAACGTCAAAAAATGATCATGCTTATAAAATCGCTTATTTGAGATGTACTCTTGACCTGAACTCAAATTCCAAAAATGAAGCATTTTCGTTGAATATAAGCCGAGAAAACGAAGGCCAAAGTTGGTATCTAAGAGCGCTTTTTTTAGCCTGCGAAAACATCCGTTTCTCCTCGCTCTCCGCTGGGGACGTTTCCGCGCGAAACGTCCCCAGCGGCGAAGAGCGAAAAGGATGTTTTCGCAGGCTACGCTTTTTTGGAAAAATTTATAATCACAGGGCTGAAATCCGACGCGATACTTTCCGTTGTTGACAGAAATGTTGCAATTTTCACAACCCGACACGCGATAACGCATATCAGTTTCAAGTAAGCCAGGGCAAATTATAGCAAAATTCGCTTACATTCTGCTTCCCCAAATTAAGTACGTTTGTTTTGATATTTCTAAATCATTTCTATGGCCGTAAAAAGCCTTCAACAGACACATCAGATATATGATCCTTGCAAGGACGATGACAGATAAGGACGCAGTGTAATGATCTGTTATGCAAATTAACACGTTGCTAAGGCTAAAACATTGTTTACGACGCCATATTGAGAGCACGTCACGCAATGAGTTCCAACGAAGATTTTCGTATTTTCTCGCCACTTTCCGTGCTACAATCGGATCAGTGTCACAAAAAACATTAAGAACAGCGGTTTACTCGTAAGAATTCAAGATGGCGACGAAGGAAACAGCGCAGCGAGGCGAAAATTAAGGGCGAATTAAGGGCGAATTAAGGGCAATTTTGTGGCTGTGTTGGACCGCACTGAAAACAAATCGATGTAAAAAGATGAGGAT